TGAGAAGCATACTGAGTTGATACAAGACGAATGACCATTTAATTAGGCTTTTTACTACCCAGTTTTAACATCCCATAATCTGATTGAGTTATCAACACTACCAGATGCTAAAGTGGTTCCATCAGGTGAGAAGCAAACTGATTGTACCCAATTAGTATGGCCAACTAATTTGGCTTTTTTTTATCCTGTTTTAACGTCCCATAATCTGATTGATTTATCTTAGCTACCAGCTGCTAAAGTAGTTCCATCAGGTGAAAAGCTTAGTGATTGTACATAACTACTATGACCATCTAATTAGACTTTTTATTATCCAGTTTTAACATCCCATAATCTGATTGACTAATCTTAACTACCAGTTGCTAAAGTAGTTCCATCTGGTGAGAAGCATACTGAGTTGACAGAATGTTAATGACCATCTAATTTGTTTAACTCTTTAATTTTAATATTTTTCCAATTACAATTTAATAGTAGAGCTCCATTAAGATTCACTCCACTTATATCCACATTCTCTAATTCAGATCCGCTAAAGTTACATTTTACAAAATTTGCACCTATCAAACTAGTGTTTTTGATTCTGATGTCTTCAAAACTTTGGTTACTAAGATCTTCTTTCATTTATACTAGTAAATGTAGTGCATTAGATCCACTTTAAATAAATTTTTCATCAATACTAGTTACTTGTACTAAAAATTTAAGAAAATTTACTAATGTCTTATTACCTGAGATCTTCATAATGAGATTGAGTCTTTCTTTATCATAACCTTCTTAACAATAATCGTTTTTGTTAAAGGGATGATCTAAAATATTCCTCAAAACATTAATGATCTTTTTCATTTTCTTTTTAATTTCGCTAATTGTCGCTTGCTCATTCACAAATGCCTCAATTAGCTTTACACCTTAGGGCTTTGAAAAAAATGTTAGTATATTTGATATTTTGTATATTCTCTACTCTTCAATAATTGCTTTGAGAATTTATTCATCAATATCATGAGTGGAGGCTAAAATTTCACAGAGATCACCTTTCCTTTAGTATACTTCACCTCCAACTAAATTTAAATCAATCCTAAAATAAAATTTTAACTTCTTACTGAATAAACTACATCTTTTTTATTACTTCATAGGAATTCTAGGCTAAAGACTTAATCCCGTTAATCCATCCTTTCTTTATTTTTTCTAATAATATCAAATAAGAATTCTTCTAAACATTCCAATCATTAATTGATATCCCTTCTACTATTGAGACTAATTTCTCTAAGTCATTATAAGAGATTTCTGCAAAATTTTACTTGATAAGATTAATGTATGAGTTGTTTTCTTTATCAATCAGATCATAAATTGTTTTAATAGCTTCTGATAAATCTTAAACTACCAGATGCTAAAGTAGTTCCATCAGATGAGAAACATACTGATTGTACATAACTACTATGACCATCTAATTTGCCTTTTTATTATCCAGTTTTAACATCCCATAATCTGATTGACTTATCTTAACTACCAGCTGCTAAAGTAGTTCCATCAGGTGAGAAGCATACTGATTGTACATAACTACGATGACCATCTAATTTGCCTTTTTATTATCCAGTTTTAACATTCCATAATCTGATTGACTTATCTTAACTACCAGATGCTAAAGTAGTTCCATCTAGTGAAAAGCATACTGATTGTACATAACTACTATGACCATCTAATTTGGCTGTTTATTATCCAGTTTTAACATTCCATAATCTGATTGACTTATCTTAACTACCAGATGCTAAAGTAGTTCCATCTGGTGAGAAGTTTACTGATAAGACAGAACTAGTATGACCATCTAATTAGGCTTTTTATAACCCAGTTTTAACATCCCATAATCTGACTGAGCTATCCCTACTACCAGATGCAAAAGTAGTTCCATCTGGTGAGAAGCATACTGATAGGACAGAACTAGTATGACCATCTAATTAGTCTTTTTATTACCCAATTTTAACATCCCATAATCTAACTGAGTTATCACTACTACCAGATGCTAAAGTAGTTCCAT